ATTTGGGTTGGCTGCTCAAGCTTTCCAACTGGGTCTTCACCCCACTTAGTATCTGATTCACTTGGGGGGTCTTCCTCCATTTGTATGTGGTGTGAGCTCAGCCATCTCACGTTTTATTCTCTTCCTGTATGAAAGGTTGAGTCTCTGTTGGGGACTCTTGCTTTTCTCAAGGCCCTTGTTCTCAGATTCACCCATATACATCTCCTTCAGAGGACATTGGCTAATCATTGAAGTATGTCCAGAGATTCATTGTCTTCTCTTGTCCCCCCCCCTCCTTCTCTTCACCTTATTGTTGTGATGACTCTGTTAATCTCGCACTACCCTTGGCATCCATCTTCTTCTACCTCACCCAGACTTACATCTGTTCACTGATGCCTATTGTCTGGGTGGGATACTCTTCTGGACACCTGCATCATTTCTAGGGTCTGTGTTTCAGAAAAGCAATCTTTCCTTAACAATGTTCTTGAAATATTGGTAGCTCAATTAGTTGCCATCATCTTCTGTATCGTCTTCTTGGATATCTTGTCCAGATCCATTCACACAATTCCCTTGCAGTTTCTTATTCATGGTGACTCATTGTACAATCTACCTTTGTGGTATCTTATGCAGATGGAATGATTCCTGTTTGTTTCAAGTACCTTTTCAGTTTGTTCCTCTACTCAACTTCCTCTTATTTCTTCTACTAGAGTGGGAGAAATTTTGTTTCACCATTCCAAAGTCATTGGGGATGTTGGTAATAAAAGTTTTCTTTGGGTTAATGTAATCCCAATGGTATGACACTGAGTGGATGCAACCCTCAATCAGATGTAGGGCTGGAGTGTTAATTAGAAGTAGTACAGGCCACTCCCTACACTAAAGACCAGACCATTCCTGGTAGTTATGCCAGATGGATGGGTCATGTGTTTTCATTTAACGTGGGTCTGGGAAGATTCATCTCTGCATCTACTTTTTCTGGTAAATATTTCATGGAGTTTTCTCATTTACTGTATACCTTGACTTATTGCATTAGTCACACTACACATGCATGCACTGCCTACTCCATGAAATATACTTTCCAGTTAAGCAGTCTTTACATTCTACCCATCTATGTGACTTTTTAGCACTATGCAGGAAGTTTTTTGCATAGTACCTATTGCTCTACCATTTTTATTGGGCAAAGAGTATTCCCTGATGTATTCTCCCACTGACTAATGACCCAATAGGTCCCCCATCCCTCTGTCGGTGACATGACTTCATGAGTTTTTCCCCTTCAGTTTCTATATTCAGGAAAGTGCTCATATATTAGTTTCTACATTGGCCCTCCACCATCTTATAAATGTGGGATTCTAGTTACCTGTTCCTCGGAGGGGAGAGTATAATTTCTGAAGTCATCATTCTCCATACCTGAAAATACCTGATAAATATTAACCTCTCCACAGAACCATCCACCCTTCCTACCCACTTCCAGTGTGTGTGTGTGTGTGTCTTTTGCCTCATTAAGAATGACCATTTGATATTCACAATTTGCTGAAGGGGAGAACTGTGCATGGAGGATGTGTCTCCCCCTTATTGGTGCAGGGCTGTAGTGTAATGCTTATTGAATTATAGACTGATGCATTGCATTTTAATACATGTAGGGGTGGAGGTATTGCTCAAGACTTATTGCATGCACAAAAATGTCTCATCAGTGAAATAAGCTAATAGCTATCTTCTCTTTGGAAAAGTGACAGATATGTTAACTTTGGAAATACTTGTTTTCTTATTGCACTTAAGGATCTAAAACAGACTTAAGTTTATCTAATGCTATTAGTTTACATCTACAATTTTTGCTTTAGCTGTGGTAATATACTTGAGTTCTTGCAACAGCACAGGCATATCATCAGTATTATACCTTGTTTTAACTAATGTTTACTGTATTACACTGTAATGGAGATCTAAATTTTGTTATACTGTAATATTATGCAAACATTCTGTAACATTATGTAGTTGCACATGACTGAGATTAAGATCACTTTTAATTTTCTTTTTTAAGGTTTATTGCTCTTTTGGTTCCAAGCTTTTAACAGAAAGAACATAATGCTTATTAATCAAAACAAGGTTATCAATTTTGGTATAATGAATTTGTACTTGTGATAAATGTTAAATCACAAACTCAAAATAATGTCTTTAGGTAATTCCTTTATTAACTTACCAGTAAAGTGTAATGCTTACTTATTTTAAACATCTTCTGGTGGGACAGCTGTAAGTCTTAGGATTTACAATGCTAAAATCAGGGGTTTGATTCCCCTCAGTGGACACAACAGATAGCCCTATGTGGCTTTGCTATAACAAAACACACATACACACGCTTATTTTAATTTGCTAGTATATCTGTCGGTTCTTTTAACAGACATTTAAACACAAACATAATTTGATTATTGGTGCAAAGAAAATCATTGACTGTGATTACCACAGTCACACTGTTTATTTTTATAAATTCTTGATAGTATATGTCTGTGTTTCCTATATTTATTGTGGTTGGCATTAATTGAAGATTTCATTGTCCTTTGCTTCAGAAACACACTTTGCACTTAAGAGCTGTGGGTTCATGTAAGAGTTGCCTTCAAATCCTACTTTATGGTCAGCTAAGAGTAGCTCTAGAGTTTGTGGCAAGTTATGTACTACTATATGCTTCTTTTCTAGTCTATCAGCTCAAAAGTAGGGATAGCTATGTGAAGTAGCTCTTTAATAACTTTATGTGAAAATTCTGAAACAAAACAACCCTTGACTATATAGTACCAAAAGCCACTAGCAAGAATATACTATACAAAGGTTTATCAAACACTTACTGAAGTATTTGCATCAAATGTATTCTGTGTCACCACATCTGGTCATGCTCTACCTGATGACTGCACATCTTGACGGTAGCACTACAGTGTAGTTTCCATTGCTCTGTCATAAGATTTTTGTGTCCAAAGCACATCACTCATTCCTGCTAGCTCTTCAAAATAGTGTTGAAGAATGAAAATTTTCAAACACCAGTTTTAACAGTCTGATCACACACAAATGAATAGGCACTGTATCCAGCAACTTGACTAGTATTTACGTCTCCTTAGGAAGTTATATCCATTTCATTTTCTGGTTGTATGAGGTATGTGACAGTTGAATGAGAGTTATGACTTGAAGCTGTATCTTGGTGAATCCATATTCTGTTAGCATCATTTCTATACAAAACCAGTATTTCTGTGTGGTATAAAGGGTGCAGAACATTTGTCTGATAGTAAGCAGAGTTCACTTTGATATTTTATGCACTTTCCTGATCCCTAACTTACCCCTGCTGCACTATCCAGTGATGATCATAAATCCCTTTGAAAAGTTTTGTGACATGTACAACTTTTGGAAATTATTTTCACTCATTGACTGGTAGAAAATGGCAGAGACTTGTTATATTTATCAAGATACACATATGCCTCATCAAGTGTTACCATGTCCTGCCATTTTTATACAGCTAAGTTTTATGCATACAGTTTTTTTACAGTTGGTCTTCCTGTTGTGGATGTATTTTGGAAGTAACTTGTGTACAAGTAATTTGCATCACTTTTCAAGTTATGAATACTCCTTGATTATGTTCCCTAGTGTTACCCAGAACATACAGATAGCTTATGGCAGTGACCTTAATGTTCATGGATTCTTGCCTGTTACAAGAAGCCACACTTTGGTTACCACTAGGGTATGATTTGTTACAGGTCCCTTTCTGGATTGTCATGTTGCCCCAAATTGATCCATATTCCTTTGTTTTCCAAAACCATTAAGGACAAGGGATATCCATCCTTATCTTGTAAATTCTAAATTCCCTATCAGAATATAATGTTATGGTCTAAATGTACGAATATCCTGTGTTGAAATATACTGTTATGTACATTTCCCAAAAGTAATCAGTTTATCAGTGGCAGCAAACTGCCTGAAATACCAAACATTGTCAAAATGTTGTTCTGATATATTTTGTTTCATTGCAACTTTATATTGGCTGTGGTTATCATGTGAGCTGCTGGTTAGAATATTCCAAATCATTTTAATATAATGTACTCAACCCTCTGTAAATGTTGATAATTCTGTTAATGTGTCAATGGAACAAAACCAAATTAGTTTATTAAACCATTTATTCTTACATTAAGTTCCTTTGAACACATCTTTATATGGAGGCACTTTACACCATGAGGATATAGAGTGTTAAGTTCTTTCAGACTTAAGCCAAGGAGTATAGCAGAGAAACATCCATTAATTGGGACAAGCCTTTATTGACGATGGTCAATCACTTTGAGTTTTGCACACAATTATTACCTATAATTTTATGTTACAACAAGAAGTTTATTACGTTAAAATGTGGACATTATAATGTGTAAATGTTTTGTATATTTTTGTAGCTTTCATTACTAAGGCATACATCATTCTTATTACTCTTATATATATGTAATATATTCTTTAAACAAAGAGTAAAGCATGTATCATAAACGTTAATGTTTTCTTACCTAAGAATGCATGTCAAAGAATTACTTTATATTTTGAAAAATCTTATCTTACAATTAAACAAAGCATAATTACAAACTTGTAGTTTTAGAACTGTTGTTTTATATATGTAAGATATTCTTTAAACAAAGAGTAAAACATGCATCATAAAGGTTATTCCA